TATTCCAATCTGTGCTTCTTAATTAAATGATAAATTGTGTATAAAACTGAGAAATTATACATATACAAAAGTGAACAAGTTTTATTTCATTTCCTTAACAAAATATATAGAAGTCCCGAAACGTGTTAGCCCAAGTCCCGAAACGTGTTAACCCAAGTCCCGAAACGTGTTGTCAGGTCCCGAAACGTCGGGGTCCCGAAACGTCGCGGTCCCGAAACATCCAGAATTCCTCTGAACAGTAACCCAAATATGGCACTGTGTATTCGGTTGAATAGCCAATCATTTCAAATCAAGTTGAGCGGGTCTGCATCGTTATTTTGACGAAGTTTGAAACCAGTGGTATTTTTTTGACACTTCATCTAGATTTAAGAAGATTCTTGCCTTGACAACTGCTCGAACTCCCGGGTTGGCATGCTCTAAAGGTTTGTTTACGATTTCCAGTCGTTTTTACTTTCACTTTCAGATCAGTACATTGTGCATGTTGTGAAAGAATGAAACTAATCAAAGTCACAGAAAACGACGCTTTGTATGTTATTTTCTGCTAGGATATTAGATAAGTACTTTTGATAATTTGGGGATTAAATGTTTATGTGCGTCACTTTATTCTGTAAAGGTGTAAATATGAATCATAGGGGCTTGTCTTCCGGATTGATAAATGTAAAATAATTTTTAAAAATTGTAACTACATTAACCATGTTAACTACACTCTAAAAGTTGCTTTAATAAAGATTCTGATCAGGCAAGAAAAATAATGTTTAAGAAAAGTACTACACCTATATACATAAACTCTCAACTTTGAGAGTTTATTTATTTTTATTTATATCATTTTGTATTTTAAACTGTGTCCATTTTCTTAAATCACAGGTATTGTGAATGCAGTATGCAGATTGTTGAAGGGAAAACATCAAGACGGGGCGAGGAAGACAACAAAACATGATTACCCAGATTGAGGATCCCAGTGTTCTTTGGTACAAGCACATTTTAAAAATAAATTTCATGAAATCTGTTACTTGAACAAACATTTACATTATTTAGTGCTTGACTTGCTCGGGAGTCAATATCGTCATATATTTGTAAAAAAAAAATGTTCAATTTCCTTTGTATAGTCTCAAGCTACTCAGCCTACCATGAGAAAATTAAAAGATCTGTCATGAAGAAGAGGCGGGTTTTCAACTTTCATATTATAAATGGCAAGTATTGTTTAGAACTAAATTTAGATTTTTCTTGATAAAAAATAACATAAGTGTGTTTGTCAATTCATAGCTATTATTTGTGATTGCACTGTGTATTAATTTTCAAAATCAATTCATTCTCTGGTGACCAAGTGCAGCAGTTTGCTTCAAACTCATAATTTTTTTTTTTAAATATTGACTATATTTGTCCATATGTACAAAATGTTAATCACGGTATGAATTCTATTTCAGCATGATTGTCATCTTCAATTTGAGACTCTCACTTAAAGTCCTTTTACTGTTCCATATCAGGAAAAAGTTCATGAGCTGAAACATGCGATTGGGGAAAAAGGTACATATATCCTAAACCATAACTTCAGTATTATTCTGTATAAATGTACAGCTAAAGTAAATACCGTATAAGTGGAAATTTTAGCAAGATGCAAATTTTACGATTTGTCCTTTAAAACTGGTAATTTATTTTTAGTGATATGCTATTTTAGCGACTTTAAAATGCACATTTAAGAAACTAATACAAATAAAACGCAATTAATTTTTAGCGATATTTAATTTTAGCGACCTCAACACCCTCGCTAATAATGCCAAAATTAAATCCTCGCTTAAAATTCTACTTATACGGTATGTAGCACTATATTGTTCTCTTTGTAAACTGACAACTGAGTAGTCAGGAAACCTATGATTTCTCAATATTTCAGGGATTTGTTTTTGTGTAGTACCCTTAAAAAATACATATTTCTCAAATTGTAATTTATAGGCTTTTTGTGATAAGGGATACATGACCTAACCCATTGATTCTTCATATAATATGTCAATAACAAGAGTTCCACTCATCTTATTAAATTAAAATTTTTACATTTTTTGCTTTTTGAGGTTAAAGGTCATGTATGAACTGTTTATTTATTAGTAAGGTTGTGCCTTGCTTTTATTTTTATTAATTATGGTATTGTGAATTCTGATAACACAGACACTGTTGAAAATATTTATACTTATACTTATGCATGGCACTGAAAAAAATACTTTTTTTTTCTTTTAGGAAAAGCATTAGGAAAAAGCCTGCATGGGGAGAAAAGTTTTGAACTTTGAAAAGGGAGGTGTGACAAAAACATTTTGACAGTTGTTGATTTCCACTAAAACCAATATCCACAAGAAAGAGGACATAGTTTTATGTTGATTCACAACTTTAAATTCAAGAATGTACATGCAGTTGGTTTTATTATAAAACATGTCACATACAAAAAACATATTTGTGAAATGAACTCTGTCTTTGATGTGTATGTGATTTCCAGATAGGATGTGTGCAACATATACTGCCAAGAATCTCGATGCTTTTGATCTTATGTTTATAAAAAATAATGTTTTGTATTGTAATAAACAAAGTTAAAGTCAGCTTTTTCTTAATATGTATATTAATTATGATGTTTACATTTCCGCAACTTATCAATTTGGAAGAAAAATCTTATTCATAATTTGAATAAGGCTTCATTCACTGGAATTGAAAACGGAAATTATTAACTTTTGTGGTTATTAAAGATGGTATTCAATTAAATTTAAGGTTTGTAATTATCAGATTGTGGTTATTAAAGATGGTATTTAATTAAATTTAAGGTCTGTAATTATCAGATTTAATATATCCTAAATACTGTGTTTAATGGTTGTAAATATTAACTTTACTTTTTTGTAAAGTCAAGACAATGTGGGACATTACATCATATTTAAGTGCATGTAAAGTTAATGTAAAGGTTACCTTTTCCAACTTTGACTTTTTTCAGAAAAGCCAATTAAAGGCATTGTAAATAATAAATTTACATTATCTTTACTTATTTTGTAAAGCCAAATTTTCACGCAGTGTATTAGTCAAAACACCAGGAAAATCTAATCAATCAAAATGGTTGCAGGTATAAACAATACACAGTGTAATCACGTCAACGGTACGTGTTTAGGAGGGTGTTCTGCAGGTTTCAAAGGATTCCTTTGTGACAAAGGTACTTGTAAATACAAATGTGAAAACATATGGAGGCACAAGACTCATTCATTGAGAATAGAAACCAATAATTAAGAAATAATTTAGGCAACATTCTAAAAAAAGTTGATGTGTACTTCCAAAAAGTAACTATTCCAAAACAAACAAGAATTTTTAGGGATTCAATATTAAGAATGTTTGAATTGGTGATGAGATTAGAAACAATATTATAGTAATCACAAGGCTTTGAAAAAGTAGAGCTATTTTTATTTTACTTAGTTTTCACTTTTGAAGACTTTTTTACGTGTAGTGATTGATATAATTTTTAAATATTAACTTTCTGGCTGTTATACTTGACAATCATGGATCTTCCATTAAATGATTTATCCACCACAGCAAGGTATTATCGTTTATGAATATTATTCCCATGAATGCAGACCCACCAGAGAGAATCATTTCCTCATCTTGAACATTTATGCCTTTTTTTAAATTTTGCTATATACAGAAAAAAGGAAAGAACTGAGAAAAAAGAAATGATGAACTATGAATCCATTTTCAAAATTTATCTACAGAATGTGAAGGAGGAACGTACCGTGTAAACTGCCCCCAGACCTGTGGTCACTGCTTAAACAATGAACAGTGTCATCATATCAACGGTTCTTGTTTACAGGGATGTTCTCCTGGATACAAGGAACCCCTCTGCAAGACAGGTAATTTCTACATGTAATTAATCTCTTTTTAATTAATTTTTACAAGGGATATCAATATTTCGTCACTTGTATATACCATAATGATATACATTACATATTTATTAAGTTTTGCAAAAGTTATAGAAGAAAACTATTTGATAAAAGAATAGAAACATTAACATATTAAATAAAACAGAGAAAATGATATGGCACTTGATCCTACCTCTGATGTTGTTGATGTCCGTGTTTGCTCTTCTCCTGTTTTATATTGTTTTATGGACTTTTGATCTTGAATACTGTACGTTATCTCTGTATGTTATATGATACTAGTTAAATAAAACCTTTAAAATATCTAGAATGTGATGGTGGGATGTATGGTCTAAACTGCAGTCAAGTCTGCGGTCACTGTCTTAATTATGAACAATGTCATCATATCAACGGTACTTGTTTACAGGGATGTTTTAATGGGTACAAAGGATCTCTCTGCAATTCTGGTATAGTATTACCATCACTGCTTCTTCCTCAAACACAGTAAATATATATTTGGCATATTCACATATTTACTTCTAAATGTAGAATTGTTATTTTCAAATCAAAACACTAATTGTAAGGGAAATTTCTTAATAAAAAATAGCGTGTGATGGAGGTATGTATGGAAACAACTGTAATCACAGCTGTGGACATTGCATTAACGATATTCAGTGCAACCACGTCAACGGTTTATGTTATGGAGGGTGTTCTGTAGGCTTCAAGGGATTGCTTTGTGACAAAGGTATCGTGTTTTCAATTCTAATGTCAATTATAAGGTGTAATTGAGAATTAAAAAAAAAATGTTTATGAACATCAGTTTTTGAAAGAGCCATATTGGTATGCAAACTTTTTCATGAAATGATATTTTTATTAGTCAAAGGGGTATATTTCTTATAATTGGCATTGTAATTGAGATAATGTAAAGTATATAAGGTAAAAAATAATGTGTATTCTTTTATTTTTCCTTTTTAAAAGGTTTTTGCAATACTCTTTCACGCTGGAATTGAGCGATTGATTTGGCATGTACCGAGTAAAGTTTAAAACCGATTCTGTTGCATGAGTTCCTATTTAAGATTTCTTTCAAAACCTTTTTTTATTTATATTCAGCATGTGACAGTGGAATGTATGGTGTTAATTGTAATCAAGTATGTGGTCATTGTCTAAACAATGAACAGTGTCATCATATCAACGGTTCTTGCTTACAAGGATGTTCTAAAGGATACCAGGGATCCCTCTGCAACATTGGTATGATTGTTTTTGTTGGGATGAGGATTGGGAGAATTTGTGTGTAACTTGGTTATTGATATGTTAATCTATAACAATAGCATGCACACAAAACAAAGACCACAGTAACTTATCTTATTTCGTTTACATATTCTGAATTTTATTTCTCTTTAATTATTTGTTTATAATCTCTCAAACTACAAGTAGATATTCAAATTTTTGTCAAAATCATTGCATTTGCAAAAGGTAGTACACTCTAGTTATCTACAATAAAAATACTTTATACGATTCGAATTAAGTTTAAACTATTTTTTAATATTGTGTTTGCACTAGAAAAAGTTTTTGGTAGAAAGAAAGAAAAATTGTTTTATTCATTGATTAGCGTGTGAGGATGCAAAGTATGGTTATAACTGCAATGAAAGCTGTGGACACTGTATGAACAATACCACGTGTGACCAAATCAACGGTACATGTCCAGGAGGGTGTTCTGTAGGATACCACGGGCTTCTTTGTACAAATGGTATAAAATAATCATATGTAATATTTTGTTTTGTTTGTCTGTCTGTCGTTTCTTTTTCATTTCATCTTCTTATGCTTGTATATTATTTTTGTGTCCTGTGCTGTCAGGAAACACCTAGTTATGTTTTCTTTCAGTTTGATTTAGCGGGACAGTGAGATTGACTCACCGGGTGACCTGAAAGTTCTTTAACCTTTTAATATTTTGTAGTTTGTGGACGATCGTACTGGGGAGTCAATTGCAAAGAGACCTGTAGTACAGAGTGTGTCAGCCAGACTTGTCATCACGAATCTGGACGCTGTCTATCATACGCGCAGGTAATGTAATTAATAAATCATATGAAGGATATAGCAACATAAAAAGAATTTTTGAAAATAGATGATGAAATAATATGCCTTTAGACTATTTAAAAGGGTTTTTTGTCCCCCGCTTGAAAAGTGGGGGATATTAATTTGGGTTTGTCCGTCCGTCCGTCTGTCCGTCCGTCCGTCCGACCGTCTTTCTGTCTGTCTGTAACGCTTTCGTTTCCACACGATATCTCGAGAACCCTTTGAGCTTTTTCAATGAAATTTAGCATAGCAACTCCATATGGTATAAAGAAGACCCCTGTTGATTTTGAGGTCAAAAGGTCAAAGGTCAACGTCATAAATAAGCAAATTCTGTCTGTTAAAACACTTTCGTTTCCACACGATATCTCTAGAACCATTTGAGCTATCGCAATGAAATTTTACATAACAACTCCCTGTGGCCTAAAGAAGACCCCTATTGATTTTGAGGTCAAAAGGTCAAAGTTCAAGGTCGTTTATTTATACATTCTGTCTGTGTGTAACACTATCATTTCCGGGCGATATTTCAAGAAGATTTTGAGCTTATGCAATGTAATTTTATACCAAAACTCCCTAGGACGTCTCTCGCCCCTCTCAAAGTGCCCCGCCCCGTTTGTTTTATTAATATTTATAGTATTACATGTCGCTATTTTTAGCGCAGGAGGAGAGTTATTGCGTATAAAACAGGTTCTCGGCGGACTTTATGTTCTTATCACATCTATTAGAACTGTTTAATAAAGACTAAATAAATCAAACACTATGGATTGTGTAAAATTTTGAGAATACCGAACATGAAAACATGAATATATACATGTATGTGACTTCAGTTCTGCATATACTTCACTCCATGTACAGCGACTCCGTGGTCTAGTGGTTATGTCTCTCGCTTCAAATGTGAGAGGTCCCGGGATCGAATCTTGGTCGAACCTTTCTTTTTTCTTTTTTTTTTTTTTAATACTTTTTTTTTTACTAAATGATAGTATTCAGCATGTGAAATGAAAAATTTATGAGGTTATAAAATCATCATTACAGTATGATAAATATTCCATATAAAAAAATCTTCTATACACATAATAAAGAATAAGCAATCAAATCTTTATATGCATATTGACATACATGTATTTTATTTCCTTCAGTATACATGTATACATTTAATAATTCTACAAATTCAGTCAGGGGGAGCCGACTTTTTCCCTAAGCGGGGGACACGAATTCTCTGAATTAGCTTGTCTAAAGTTGAAACCAATTTCATTTTATGATTAACTTTAAATACATCATTATGTTGCAAATGTTCCACATATAAATTGTAGTCTTCTTTTGTCCAATTTTTGCAGGCACAGTCTTCCGAAACATGTAAAAATGACTACACAATAACCATTACAAGTGTGGTTGTCTGTATTTTAATTATTTTGTTTATTCGTGTCCTAAACTTTATTATCTGGAGGAAAATGCAGCGTAAGTAAATGTAAATTCTTTTCTTGGTCGTTTATGTGTTTTTAACACCCCAGAAAAAAAGTTTATTTAAACTTCACATTTCAAATAAATGAAAATGTCATTTTTTGCTCTCTTTAAAGTAAAAAGTAATATTTTTTATCGCATATGTTACGTTAAAAATACATAAATAGAAAGACCGTGTTTTTACCGAAACCTATAAATATTGCTTTGATATGACATCTTTTTAAAAATAATCCTCTGTTATATATTTAACCTTTTACAGAGAAAGGGACAGCTGTAGACAACCCAAATGACAAAGACTATTACAACGAATTCCCATCTGTTGATATACGAGGTAATATAAATATACAAATGTAAGGGAAATTTTTTTGTTATACGAACTCTGTAATGTGAACAAAGTAAACGGTGAAATTCAATGGTGTTCAATTCGATGTTTATATCCAACCAATACCACGGTATTTGAAATCATCGTTTTAAACGCTAATGTTATAATTAAAAAAAAACCTTTACATTCATCCTTGGGTAAATACTGTCATAAGTATGTAAAGCTGTTGTTAACAAATGAAATGTCAATCCAATTACATGTAAAAAAAAAAAGTATAACTTTATCGGGAAGGTAGTAATTCATAAGCTTATAATTTTCAGCAAAACAAAGTGGGCAAGATATGTATGTATGAACTTATTTACTAATATATTAAACTTTTTCACTTTATTAAAGACCTTCTCCAGGATAGATTTCTGATGATTATTTTTACTCTGACAGGAATATTTCGCCTTATGCAGAACTAAGTCAACTTGACCACCCAAACACGTATGAAGAAATCCATAAATATGCAAAAGCAGACAAAAAATGTAAATGGTTCCGTTGATGATGTTTACATTATAATGAAAAACTCACAATTATTTGTAGCTTTGCTTACATAAACATTTCTTATTGTTTTATGTCTACATATATTTTTGTTTCTTATTGAATGGACATGTGTCATATACTCTCAGTTTTGTTATGCTGCATTTTATCTTCACATATCTCAACCACAATAAGAATCCAATCGCATAACATGTTGTAGAGAAGGGGCTATACATTAACATTATAACGTTACTTACGTTCATGTGTTTACGTAGAAGATTGTTCTCAACATTGATATAAAAGCTTTCCACATGTACCCAAAATTATAAAAATTGCATATTTCTTCAACTGTATTATGTTTCAAATTTATTAAAAAATTTGACTATTTTCTCATCTCAACAGACTCTCATCACAACACGTTATAGAGGAAGGAAGTTATAGTTCCCTCGAGTGCCCAGTAGTCGTGCTCTTAAGAGAGTATCAGTGATAAGTACAAATAAATGAAAAGTACGGTTATTTCATCTGATATTTTAACTTACCGTGCAATTGTCTAATTTCCTTGTTATTAAAATATTTCTAAGTGCTTTATTAAATTTAATATCGGGGCACAAAACAAGTGAGATTTCCGTCGGCCATATTTGTTTTGGACCAGTAGTCGTGCGCTCGAATGTAGCAGCAAATATTGGGTCAAGAAAAACGAAAACCAAATAAAAACAAATTTTATGTGACTTTGTTATTTCACAAAGATCAATTCAATCAATTTTGGAATTTATTTGATTTATTTAGGTTTACGATTATTTTTCTAAAATAAGTCACAAGTTTTTCATCACTCTTTATTTACAAGTATTCCTACGTAATAATTACAAATTTCAGTATAAGGACTATAGCATTTTCATTAAGTCATCTCTTAGAATTCTTGACAAAAGGAAAAAAATGAAATACCCTGTGACCATCACGTATGATTATACTAATTAGCCATGTGCTCGCCGTGTCCATAGGTGGCGCTTGCGTGCAGGTAGAGTCTATATTTAGAAACTTATAAGAGATTATTAGCAAAATGGCGGCTTTTATTGATGCTTATGTTTAATTGATTAATTAATAAATATTTCCTCCGCATATTTAAGTTTTTGTTTTAGAGTTGGCACTTCCTTCTCTCTTCTTTGAAAATCAGTTGTTTATGACGTAATATTATAGCACGTGACCAACTTTTGACAACAAAAAAATGGTGCAAGACTACTGGACCCGCACGACTATAGGACCCTCGACCATAATGCTAATGTTCGAATGTTTATATACAAGCTTAATGGCAACCTTAACGTTGTCCACAATTACTATAATTTACTTCATGCTTAATACTGTTTTCTACCTCAGCCTATGATGAGCCAGAAATATTTGATAATTACAGTGTGTATATCATTTTCTTCATTTTTGTATTTATAAAGTATGAGTAAAAGATATAAACACAAAATAATATACAACATTGATGAAATAACAATGGACTGTTCATACCATCTCGTTATCAAAATATGCAACAAAATATTTTTTTCCTAATTTTTTTTTAAATTAGAAATTTGAAACGTGTTGAAATGTCACATATCCTTTCATTTTTTTAAATTAATGATAAAATTTGATAAAAGGTTGATTCTCTATAAGGCCATTTTCCGGCCTACGATAAAATCACTTTAAAATGTGATTTTATATAACTATAATCATTCTAGTTCATGATTTTGATGTTTATTTTTCAACATCGATCATCTAAGTCACGTGATTTAGAAATAAAAAATGGACGTCAGTTAAAGAAAAATTGAGGGTGGGTCTATTCGAATCAAGTTCCTTTGTATGTTTTTGAATGTAAATGATCAAAAATTGTTTATTTATGTCGGAAATACATCAGACATGAATAATAAATTGGAAGATTTTATAAATTTAATGTTCAAGATATTTTTTAAGACAAGAAATCCGATGCATCCACATTTTGCATATTTTGAACGTAAATCTTTACAAAATTCACACTGTATGATGCTGAAAAAAGTTTGATTAGCATTTAATTAAAGGTATTACCTGGGGGTATGTCATATATAATTATATTGTAATTGTATATCATTTCTATAGATGTGTTACTCATTTTACGCATAAAATAACCATTTTAGAAATGAGGTTTCTAAGTTTCTATTGACCTATAAAAGTTATGTATCAAATGTTGAAAGCACTGAATGGATTTTGATTGTGATTAAATAAAACTGTAGTAGTAATTAAGAAAAGAAATTCAACAATTGCAAAAATAAAGAATTAACAGCATAAAAACATCAATGCAAGTACATGTTGACTATCCATATGCATGTAAATAGTCAATACATATATCTGTAACTCAGAGCGGTGCATTAATTAAAATATACACCTCTAAGTGAAATGAAATATCGTCGTAAAACGGCTTTGCTTTTATTCAATTACTCGTGTTGCACGATATATTTAATTAAAAATGCCACCTAAACTTTATGTATTTACATGTATAAAAGTTGAGCCCCCCCCCCCCCCCCCCCCCCCCCCCCCAGCGTTTCTAACGGCACAACATAAAATAGAGTAGAATTTTACAGTTCCTTCAACTATGCATATCAGAAGTTTTCGTATATACTAGTATACGGACTTAAGATTCTACAACATCCCAGGTGCAAAATGGACCCTAAGGGTTTGATGCTCCTTTCGCATTCTTGAAACCTGTAGGTTAAATTCAGTCTCCTTCCCAGTGCAGCGTCAAAAACTTGTTTTACACAGATGGTAACAGTTCCCTACCTAAGTCTTTAGCATTTAAAGTGAATATCATGGGTCTTTAGGATATTATCTTTAAAAAAGGTCCCGTCCCGCGTTAGGCGTTGGACAGTGATGCAACTATGCATAAACACTTGACCTTAAGTGGATGATCTCTTTATCTGGTTCAAAAATCCTTAAATGGGGTAAAGCAACATTCAATTATAAATTACATATTACATATAGGAATCCCTCTCCTCCTTACCATTTTATTTTTTTAGGCAGGACTACTGTTCTCGTAACTTATATCAATGCTATCAGAGAAGTGTGATGAATAGATTGAGTCCTCTCTATTAAAACCCATGCAGTTAACAAAATATGGATCACATGTTACTTCTACGGAAGTGTCCATATAAAAATTATGTGTGTACTCTTAGGAAAAAAGTCTATAACACAAATAGAAATGCATTTTACCGCATCAAGGATGGCTTTTATCATTTCTAGAACATATACAGTACTCATTAGGAAATACAAAGAATATATGCAATACTGATAACGGAATTCAAACAAGTAGCATACAAAGATAAACTAATCTATCATTATAAATATGAAAAATAACTCATATTCACACCTTATAGCCTATAAAAGTTTTTATTTCTTAATTTTTATTAGACATTTCAATGAAACGTCTCCACTTGTAATTTCATGACATCCAGTCTTCTCAGTCCTTTGATTTTAGATGTTTTAAGTAAAAATTTCACATTTATTTTTAATAAATATGCATGGCTGATATAAGTCTTAGTAAATCATCAGAAAATTGTACTCTAACCAAAAGTTCATAAAAAGAAATAATCTACATAAGCTGGTATCCTTCATTGTGAGTAGTTAGCTTTTTCAGCAAATATCGTAAAAATGAAGCGAAAAGTTTTTATTTGGATGTCATAACCATCTTTAACCAAATTCATAATTTGGTAGTCACTTTTTATGTTTATTAGAAATTGACATGCAAATTTTGGTTTTGGTTAAAGGTGGTTATGATATGCGTATGAGTTATCTAACACAGCCACCCTCTTGAGTTTTCCCATTACTCTAATGCTAATACGGACCGACAGTACCTTACTTTGTAACCCTATATCACTAAAAATACTATTGTATTATTAACCAACCGATATTTATCATTAAATTGGAACATAAGCCTAGTGATTCATGCAATTTTTAATGGAAAAAATACTATCTGAAAATTTGAAGTCATTGTAGGCCGCAAAACGGCCTTATAGAGAATGATCCTTACTAAGATTCTGTTGTATTTGACAAATTTCCACGACTAAAGCAAAGTTTAACACCACCATTTGGCATGCCAACAGAAAGAATGTGCAATAATTTTTGGCATCTGCAATATTTAGTCGCTGAGACAACTGTAACGGAAATTTGGTACAGAAAGACGCAAGGTTTAAGTGAAGGTTGTCTTGATATGGGATTCAAAAATGATTCTTATGATTCAACATGCGCAAAGA